ATTTACATATTTAACACCCAAATTTTGATTTTTTAAATCTATACCACCCAAATCTTTCATATCACTTCCAAAGTACTACCGTTTTAATTTCCAAAAAGTGAATTACGGCTTTTCTATTGTAGGTTAGGTGGCATTCATGTAAAAATTGAAGTTTAGGTGCTCACTACCTAAATACATAAGAATTGCGTGATATGTATGTAAATCATTCAAAATTAAATAATAGTATATATTATTATAATCATAGTAAAACACATTAATCAAACATATATTTTAAAAGGTGAACTTACATACATGGCACACAATTCTTACGTGTTTACATATCTCGGAAGTAAACTTCCATATTTACACATATATCACTCAAATCTTTAATTTCACATAAAAAACAGCACTATTATCACATTTTTTAAAAAGTGAAGTACACATTTTCATGCATAGGTTTAAAACACTGAAATGCCACGTACGTATATATGAAAGTTTAGGTGCGATATAAAAATAGATCAGAGCATTAGCCTTATTCCTCCTGTTAATTTTATTTGTTTAGAGAACCTGTATGATGTATTTGTGAACATCAGAGATGATGAAGGAGAACACTGCAAGACCATGAAAGCCTGTCAAACTCATGGAAACCTTCACTCTCCTCATTCATATATGAACAGGGATCCTACCGATGCAGAGTGTTCTGTGCCTGCTGCTCACTGCGAAGGCTTTGTAGATTGCTTAGCAAAATCACTGACAACAGATAAATAATGTATCAGCTCAAATATTATGTATATCAATAATCATCAGAATGATGATTCTATAGAGTCAATATATATGTTTTTTTTTCTTTTTTTGAAGAATATAGACATATATTCATATGTAATAGTTTTTTAATATTTCATAATAAAAGAGTTTATAGATATGAGCTTTAGATATGTAAAAATGCAGAGGAATTGAGTGGTATGTATGTAAATGTTGCTTATTATTATTTTTTTATTTAGAACACCTTTCCTTGAGTTTTTCACTTTTTTGTTAAGGCATTGAATAATATTATATTTTCATCATAAAACCCGCAATTTGGATTAAGAAAACTTAAATAAAAACTGTATCTGCATTCTATTATTTTTTTGGTGATTATTATGCCACTTAAATATTGTTAATGCATCAATTTAAAGCCTTAATCAAATAATGAAAACTATAGTAAAATAAAAATAAATTGCCCTGCAAAATTTATGGTGAACATATTGGCTAAAGATAGAAAGTAATGATAGGTTACTTTTGCTTTAATAATGATGTGGTTCCCATTAGTGTTGATGAGAGTCGATCTGGTTGGCAAATGATGTATGTCAGCATTGGTGGCCCATTCATGACAGGTCGAGTCATACCCATTAACCTGCTAAGCCTGTTTATGGGTTAGCTCATTTTAGAGTTATGTAAGTGTTAGCTCAACAGGGGCGACATCGGTAATTCATCAATCTGGCCAAGGCTCACGTCGAAGCCAACAAAACATATCAAGTCGCTTGAAAACGGAACTAAGAACTCGCTTGAGTATCAGTTTGGGTCCATTAGCGGAGGTGAACATGATTGTTGATGATGATCATTGTCAATTTTCATGACAATGACAAAAAAAAAAAAAAAAGCCTCAACGATAAGACTTAGGGCCCTTTGGATATGTGCAATTAAATTTCTACTAATTATTTATTAGCAAAGCACTAAAAATCAATGGGTCCCACTCCGAACACCTGTCCAACTAACCACATCATCTTGTTTGACACATATGTAGCTCAATCACCTCCATTTTTCTCAAAAATCAATAGTTTAATATTGCCACAATTGCATCAAATCAAAGCATGTAAGAATTTAATCAGCCACCCACCTTCCACCACAGATATTCAAACGAAAATAAATTAAAATAACACAAAATTAATATTACCCGGATTATGTGAGTATTTTCCGATTCCACTTGTTGTAAATACCTATCACAAACATTATATGTTTTCTTTTCACTTCATGTCTAACTTTCCATATTTAGTATCACAGTAAAAATATTATTTGCACATAAGTATATGTCTGAACAAATCCCATGAAGATTTAACGGTCTAAGAGATTGGAATTTTAATAAACGAGGATCGGCTAACAAGAGATCAAGTGACACGACTTATACGATTGCATGCAGTCATCTGAACTAAGGACAAAAGTCAGCCAGATAAAAAGAAAGGTAAAAAGAATGATCCAAGTCTGAGCCGATCAAGTTCGAGTAAACCGATCAAACCCAGGAAAGAATCAAGTTTATCAGAATCATCAATCGCCTCACAGATGCCCCCTTAGTTACTTATCAGGGACCAAGAATTCACAATGCAACAAAGCCTCAAAATCATCCCTTAAGTTCTCCTTATTGAGGAGTGAGCTGACTATCGGCTTACGGTGATTTACAATAGCTCAACTTTCTTTAATCCGCAACAGTCACTCATAAAAGATCAATGGTCAAAAGCTGGATTAGATTAACCGATCGACATAAATTCATCTGATTAAATCAAGCTCGTCAATCCGAAGCCGACCTACAAACTCAACATAGCAGATTGAGCCAAAGCCTAACAAGCCCAACCAACCCAATTATAAGGCAACAGAGCAACAAACACATGCATGTAAAATATTTAAAACATCATTTAACGGTCCAAAAAAAGAAGTGACACTATTATAACTTAATTTTAAAATAATTGAAGATTATTTTTAACTCTTGTATAAATTTGAGGAATAAAATTTCTTATCTAAATGTAAATAATAAGGAATTATTTTGAGACTTTAGCCCTCAATTTCCCTATATATAAACTCCAACTTTCGCCAACCACTGCTCCGCGGAGCCGGAAAATTATTTTGTCCGACGACCACATGTGCTCTACATGCGGTAGCGAATGAAAAATTAACAGAGGCGGAAAATTATTTTGTCCGACGCCCACATGTGCTCTACATGCGGTAGCGAATGAAAATATAACATGTGTAATGGTTGGCCCTCGGTGAAGAGAAATAAGCAGAACGTGTGACCCAACCCGAACTCCGCCCAATAACCGGAAAAGCGTATATTTGGATTTATGGAATCACGCCAAATCTAGCATTTCGACATTTTCGATCCCGCCAAAGATTATTTGTCTTATGGATGTAGATTTTTTTTATTTTCTCGTTTGTTAGTATTTGACGGGTAGGGCATAGTTCTTATTCTGTGCCGACACCACATTAAATGGATTTTTCATTCGACCAAGAAATATTGATGGAATCTCAGAATGGTGGCAATCAGCTTGGATCATTAGCTGCGTCCGGAAGTATTCCTCAGGTAGAGTCTTTCTTTGTTCTGTGTGCTGCTATTAATGGCTTCCAAATGATTGTTATTGTGGTTGATATTGTTTTTTCTGATATCATTTGGGTCTTATTTAGGTATTATCATGGGTTTATTATGGTATTATTATGATTGTATTACGGTAGTATTTATGCTTTATAGGCTTTCAAGAGTGTGTGTTATTATGGTATTATTACTGTAGTATTATGACTGTATTACATATCATTGTGTTATTTATTGTTGCATCTAATTAGTGTTTTTAA